CGGAGGAAAGTATTGTTGGGTTGGTATCCCTACCTGCGTTTTCCCTCCCACCCACCCCCTTGTCTGCATTCCGGGTTGTTTACAGTGCCACGTCAGCAGTGCCAGGTCAGCAACCATGACGGGACCAGCGCTGGGCTTACCAGGCCAACTGGCCAACGAGTCCATCACCGAGTACCGACAGCGGGTCCAGGCTCAGCTCGCGCTCATTGAGGCCGAGGAACAGCGCCAGGCGGCAGCCAAGGCTGCCCGCCTACAGGCTGAGGCGGCAGCGGCAGCTGGAGGGAACGGCTTCAGGCCGAAGCTGAGGCACACACCAGGGCACGCCGAAAGGAAGCCCAGGAGCTGCTGCAGCGCCATGAAGCAGCCAGCATCGAAAGGCTCAAGTACTGGCACTTTGAACCAAACGGCGACGAGCCGACACCGGAAGAGCAACACAAGGAGTTTCTCTCCAAGCTCGTGTCACGCCTGTTGTATACTTGCAACTACCAACGGGCCGAACTAGAGAAACAGCACCAAGAGTTGGCAGACCTCCGCCGAATAGTGCAGGGCCACGAGGATGCAACACAGGCACTCAATGCCCGTGTACTGGACATGGAACAGTTTGTACCAGGACCAGATGCTGGTACGTCCAGCAGTGAACCCTCTAGCCGCCAACTGGAGGAACGCGTTGACCATATAGTGGCGATGCTCGGCGACATCAATGCTTTCGCTGCACCTACCACCATCAGCAGTCAGCTGCACACCTTGAAGACCGAGGTCCAGCAGCTGCAGTCAACGAACTCGGAGGGCAATCCTAAGTTGTACAAGATGCCAACCTTCCAACTCGAGAAGTTCGACGACTACACGCATCAGGATCCGGTCATCTGGTGGGAAGCATTCACGACGCAGCTTCGGATCCTGCCAGTCGCCAAGCACGCATACATCGGTGYCCTTTTCCTTAACTCAAAGGGCGCATGCCAGACTTGGTTGACCCATCTAGCAGCCACTCACGGCGTCGACGTGGTAGATCTTCGAGACAAGATCACATGGGAGGAGTTGACACGGTTGTGGAAGAAGAGGTTCATCGTCGACGACGCGCCTGCCCTCGCCATCAACCGCCTCTTCACCATGACCCAAGGCAACACGGCAACACGAGACTGGCTCACGGAATGGCAAAAGATCGCGGCAACGCCGGATCTGGACTTGCCGTTTACGCATCTGCGTCGAGAGTTCTACAATAGGTCATGTGCTGCACTGAGCCAGGCACTTGGTGATCGCGAGCAGTACTTAACCTTCGCTGAGATCATCGACAAAGCGAGGGAGATCATCAAGACTAATAGGGCGGCTGCACACGAGAAATCAGCATGGCAGCCAACCTATGTGGAGAAGGTAAAGACTGGTCCGCGGCAGCAGCATTTCGCTGCAGTCCAATCGGACAGTGGAGACGACCCGGCAGCCACCAAGGCATCAAGTGAAGGAGATCAGGTAGCCGAGAAGCACCAACAAGTCCCGGAACAATGGGAAGGCGAAGACCGCATCATCGGCTGGAACAGGACAGCCAGCGCCATGGGTCAAGTTTAACTTGACCGAGGCCGAATACAAGTACCGTGGTCGGTACGGCTGCTGCTACTGGTGCAATAGCACCAAGCACAAGACCTCCCTCTGCAAGGACAAGGAGAAGGAGGATGTTCGGCCTCGCAACAACTCGGGAAATTGAGTAGCGCGGGAGGTGAGGCGACTCCACCTCCCACTCCGCCAGATCCGGCTGCCTTGCTAGCGGCCTCCTACACATCTGGGGAGGATGCGAATGTCGCAAGTTCTCGTGTCACTTACGAGGACTATGCTGTCCACTTGGTCCCACCGCTGGACCAACCACTCCACGTGCAACACTCCACCGCATGCACGGTTTCATCTCCATCGGCAACCGATTCGGCAGTTCCGCCATCATTTACCTCAGGGGATTCGTCGATATGGTCAAGACTTGAAGAGCTCGACTCGTTGACAGTCGCGGACTTCCAGTGGATGCCCGATCCCCCGACCGGTCGATTGTCGAAACCGCATTACAATGTGCTCATGGCACAATTGCGGGAGTATTTGCACACTGCAGTACCAACTCCGTTGATGGACGCCGGAGTAGAGGTTGTCGACCTTCAGGAGTACATCGCGAAGATCGACCGCGAGTTCAAGACACAACGGTACGACGACATTGACGCACCATTGTTGTATGTACGCATTCAGATCGGAGAGGCGACCTGCAGCGCCTTGATCGATTGCGGTGCAACTTGCAACTACATGAGTCAGGACTTCATGGTACGCGCCGGCCTGGGCCCACGCGTCAGGAGGAAGTCCCATCCGACACACGTGATGTTGGCCGATGGTCACACACACAAGTCAATTGACCGGTGCATTGACAACGTCCCTGTGTATTTCGCCCCGCATGCACGCGAGGCCGTGTCCTTCGATATCTGGACACTAAGTTCGACATGATTTTGGGCATGTCATGGCTGCGAAGTGAGGACCACCCGGTGAACTTCTACCGCCGCACCGTTCAGTTCGTGACCGGGATGGAGTACTAGTCCCATGCACGGTGCCTCCTCCTCACCCTTCGATCAACTGTCACGTGGTGTCCGCCGCAAGTATTCGAGGTTCCATCATCAAGGATGACATTGAGGAGATGGGGGTGTGTTTTCTCCACGCCTCCCGCCCCAGGACACCCCATTGACGGACGCATCATCGGACCCACGCATCACTGAGCTTCTCGCCACTTATAGTGACGTGTTTGAGGCCCCGCACGGAGTAGTACCGGATCGGCCCATCCGCCACGAGATCATCCTCGAGGACGGGGCTGTACCTCCGCGTGGTTGCATCTACCGAATGAGCGAGRAAGAGTTAAGTGTGCTACGGGCACAACTCGACGACCTTCTGGAGAAAGGCTGGATTCGGCCTAGCTCTTCGCCATACGGTGCGCCTGTTCTTTTCGTTCGGAAGAAGAACAAGGATTTGCGGTTGTGCATCGACTATCGTAAGCTCAACGCGCAGACGGTCAAGAACGCCGACCCTCTCCCACGCATCGACGATCTCCTGGAGCGACTGGGCGGCGCCAAGTTCTTCTCCAAGTTGGACCTCAAGTCGGGTTATCACCAACTTGAGATTCGCCCGGAGGACCGATACAAGACCGCGTTTAAAACGCGATATGGGCATTTCGAATGGCTGGTCATGCCGTTTGGCCTTACGAATGCCCCA